TCCTTTTATTTCTCCACAGTTTTCCTGTCATTAGTACAAGGATTATTACAGTTAGTATACACATTTAATACATTTAATCCAAATTGTGTCGAAAGGTGCGTTTCCATTCTGATAACGAAGCCGTGGTAAATATCATTAACAAGCAATCGTCACATTGCGATAAGATCATGCATCTTGTGCGTCTTTTCGTATGCCAGTGCTTGCGGTACAACATCACATTTAAAGCCTATCATATACCCGGCGTGCATAATGAAATTGCAGACTCCCTCTCACGTTTTCAGGTGAACCGTTTCCGTGCACTAGCACCGAAGGCGGACATACCAATGACGCCGATCGCCAATCTTCTCCAAGTGTAATACAAGGTGAGATCAACCGCCTATTACTAGCTGCATCGGCATCAAATACTCATAAGACATATCAGACTGGCTGACGGGCGTTTTGTTCATTTCGATGCCAACAAATTGATGCCTGTTCTCCGTCCTCGCCTGCTGATGTTCTGCGATTTATTGCATGGCTGTCATTGCAGCGTCTTGCACCATCAACTATCGCAACTTACGTTTCCGGGGTGGGTTATTATTACAAAATTTCCGGTTGGCCGGACCCAACGAAAGATTTCTTGGTGACGAAATTATTGTCGGGTTGCCGTAGGGATAATCCCGTTATTGACGAACGATGGCCTATGACCTTGCCAGTTTTGGCCCGCATCATTCAAGCACTCCCACACGTGTGCAAAGATCATTACGAAGTCGCACTTTTCCACGCGGTCATGTTATGTGCATTCTTTTGTTTCATGCGTATAAGCGAGTTTGCCGCCATTTCAAAAACAAACGTGCAACACTCACTTATTTTGGCTTCGGACGTCGAATTTATAAATGTGGGGCAGGACAGTGCTTCCGTTTTAGTCACCTTCAGGTACACAAAGAATAACCAAATGGGTAATCCTCAGATTGTGAAATTAGTTCGCTCAGGGGACGAAACCATCTGTCCAGTGCGAGCCCTCACAGTCTACGCCCAGATGCGTCCGAAGCAGGAGGGTAGTTTTTTCTGTCATTTTGGGGGCGATCCCCTTACCCAGTACCAGTTTAACGCCACATTGAAACGGGTTCTGATTTTCTTGGGCCTTGGAGGCTCATCATTTAGTGCACACTCCTTCCGCATTGGGGCGGCGTCTACTGCAGCGTCCTTGGGTTTTTCGTTGGATGAAGTTAAGGCAATGGGCCGTTGGCGTTCAAATGCCGCTCAACTTTATATCCGTCCAATTGTACTTTGCTAGCTGCCTGGCGTTTAATTTCAGCTGTTTAATTCCGCGTTTTGTCCACCATTTTGTCTCACTTGTTCCCACCCCTTGTTTACAGGGGATGTGTGGATCATTGGGGATTCCATCGTCCGCAGAGCGGCAACCAGGCTGGAATGCAGTCCACCAGTACGCTGGAACGGTCTGGGCGGAGCCCGATACAGTGATATAAATCAATTGTTATCTGACCTGGAAGCTAAGTGCCCTCGACCGGCCATGCTGATCGTTCACATTGGCACTAATGATTTGGGCGATACTGATTTTTTCAGCATGCGGCAGCGGATAACCTTATTCATGAAAGAATGTAGTGCTAAGTATCCCCAGGCTAAATTAGTGTGGTCTGATATACTACCGCGAGCTTGTTACTTTGGGACCATTAATCCAGCGAAAATGGAGATGAAACGGCGGGCCGTGAATAGATGGGCGCGCTCCCTCAGCCGTCGCAAGGGCGTGTCAGTGCTACATCATCCGCAGTTTAAATGGTCCGAATTCTCATTGTACAGATATGATGGGGTTCACCTGTCCCATACGGGTAACATGCACTTTCGGTCGAATCTTCGGGATTGCATTTGCGCTGCCTTTAATTGAGTGTAATTGAGTTTATCCCACTCAAAGGGTTCATAGCGATGGTCCTCTTTACTGTTGTTATTATAATTCAATTCTAGGGGCGTTAATAGGGAGATGCACTTGCCTGTCGTTCCGGTGGGGCGCGTTTGGCGCGTGTGGCAGAAATTTGCCGGAAGCGACGGGAAGTGCCTCGATTTTGGCTAACATGATAATCAAATTATATTAGTAAATAGGTTTCAATTAAACTTTGAATTTTGATGTTTACAGTTAATACTTGCTGTTTAATCTTAGGAACCCTACGCCAAGCACCCTCTTGTTCAGGTGGGGCTTCTTCCAACCGTATTTTCAAACGGTGGAAAAAACGGCGTGCTTTGCAAATCTTTTGTTAATTGTTCCAGACATGACATTCGACAAATTATAAGCATTTTGTGACTAGCACCCTCTCGTTCTGGTGGGGCTAGCGTTTAACTTTGATAAATATTCCTATAGCCTTAAGGCGAATGGTTGGCAAGCCTGCCAAGGATTCGGGCCCGTGGATGCCAAGCTTGGCAGATTGGGGCAAGCCTGCCCGTTTAAGCTAATTTTGCCAAACTTTTTAGTGTCAAAGACAAATAAACCAGTGGCTTGGAATAACGTGCCAAAAACTCAAACCTTAGTCTCAGTGGCTATTTTGTTTGTTGTCTCAGAATAATTTTGCGATAACCTGACTTTACGCTATTGCGGGCTTCCTTGTTGCACAAAGAATGCTTCGTATATTCGAAAAGAAAAGATCTCAAAAAGTACCCAAAGCTTGCAATCTTGATGTCATCTGAAAGGCAGATGTGCCTCTACCTGTTCATGTAAGTTTCATATCCATATTTGCAGTAGTTAGGAAATATCTGCAAGAGGAAGTGCGAGTTCTTGTCTGACTGCTTAATGTTTTTGCATAATTCTGACTTTTCGTTATTGCGGGTCTTTTTGTGACACATATATTCCTTATATTCGGGCAGAAAACATCTACAAACAATCTATATATTGCGATCTTGGTGTCATCTGAATGGGCAGATGTTCTTCCATCTATTCATGTAAGTTGCATATTCATAATTTCAGTAGTTAGAGATATCTGCGAAAGGAAGTGCGAGTTCCTTCCTTACTGCTTGACATTTTCGCTTAATTCTGACTTTACGTTTTTGCGGGTCTTGTTGTGACACGGATATTCCTTATATTCGGGCAGAAAACATCTACAAATTATCTATATATTGCAATCTTGGTGTCATCTGACAGGGCAGATGTTCTTCCATCTATTCATGTAAGTTGCATATCCATATTTGCAGTAGTTAGCGAAATATCTGTAAAAAGAAGTGCGAGTTCTTGCCTTACTCCTTGACATTTTCGCGTAATTCTGACTTTACGTTATTTCAGGTCTTGTTCTGACAAAGACATTCCTTATATTCGGGCAGAAAAGATCTACAAATTGTCTATATATTGCAATCTNTCAGAATAATGATCTCCATATACATGTACTTGTTGTTTTGTAAATTGTCTTAATTATAAATTAGCAATAAAAATTTAGCCATATCTTATAGCTGCGAATGCTGATTTCTCAATAAAACCATTAATAATAATAATAAAAATAATGGGACATTTTTTTCTCTCTACCAATGTGGCAAAAATTCAGTTGATTGAGAGATTTTCCTTTTTATATGGAATAAAATACACGCACCAAAACATACTTGTACCTGAATTAACTCTGTACATGTATTTCTTCAAAGTTGACGGATTTAAATCATACACATACATGTTTGTTAGTCCCGGTAACCTCACTGTTTGTACTCCTCTCTTTCAAATTTTCGATAGATCAATCATCCCAAATTCAAAAAAGATGACGGAAAGCAAGTTGACATGACTGGACAAATTACCTTTTAAGGGTCATGATTAGTTGATATAACACAATCTGAAATTTGGAATAATTGAAGGATCTCTACCGGTACTTATGTGCACGTGACATCAACACAAATGTACCTGTACTTATGTAGTACAAGCTCATCTCTAGTGAAGGTATTTAATCTAAGTCTATTAACATTAATACTCGAATATACAGTCATACCTTGCAAGTCTCTTACATACTCTTTTCACATATATGTGAACTGACTAGTTGCTTTGAAGGATTCTGCAGAGAAACGATTTTGTAAGCTCACATTTCTACCAACATGTCTTCCTTGCTTCATGGTGTAACTGCCAACGGACTGAATTCAAATTTCCCACCAACATGACCAACCACAAAGAACTCTGCACAGAAGTTGGTGCAGCCAGAGTTCATGCAATAAGGTAGTAGCATGTCCACTGCATGGAGTTGGGGTAGCACACTCCTAATTATGGCTTTCCTTTTGACTTTAAAATAAATGAAAAGCAAGTATAGCATTCAGTGAATGCATGCTATTGTCAACCCAAGGAATGCTATAGTTGGACAAAATCCACTGCCTTGACCCTCAAAATTCCAGTCATAAGTACTGTATACCAGCAGCATTGCTCCACACTAGGAATGCTATTCAGCAGATTTCCACTTGATGAGGAGTGCTATATTTTTCAGAACATACTCTGGCTTGAATGCTATGATGGCTCAGGAATGCTATCAGGAATTCTATTTGGACTGCTGATGATAGCAGTCCACAATTCATTCAATCCTTTACATGCTATGTGAATGATATGTTACATGCTGTTGGAATGCCATAGTAATGCTGCTGAACTGCTATAATAACAGTCAAGTTTGGTAAGGGAAATTACACAGTACCAAGGCATATCGTCTAACTATGGTATTCCTGGTATAACTATGGTATTATGGTATATACATTCATTTCCGTGAAATGGTTGTTTTTGTAACAAAACAATGAATGAGATGCTATGTGTCTGTTTGCAACAGAGCACTATGATCACTGAAACTGTGCTAAAAATAAACTTTCCTTTATGCATCTAATATAAAACACGCATAGTAAAAAGTGTAAAAGTCAATGAGATATGCACACAAATGTCAACATCTAAAAAATGTTCCAGGATCTTGTCATCATGATACCATTTTGTATAAATAATAAGGAGTTCAAGTTTAATCTACCCTGTGAATTTAATGAATACTGGAACCTATTTACTACAGTAAGTGAAAAACAAAAATTGGAACTTGGAATGATGATGTCACAAAATTATCCATACTACCAACACATCTTTTTGGCATACTAGAAGTCTAGGAAAAAGAATTTTGATAACACCTAATTTGTTTGAGAGAAATATGTTCAACAGAATGTTGAAATATCTACAAAGTGAAGCATTAAACTAGAGGACTGTGGTTATGAACATCTGTACATGTTTATGAGTTATTTGTGGCAGAAATGGAAATCAATGTGTAAAAAATGTCAATTCACCAAATGAGGGCATAGTTACATCATTTCATTTTTCATCTAGCACACTTCCCATTCTAGCTACTTCAGTGCAAGATTTCAACCCAATGAGACATGTACTTCAGAGGATAAAGCACTTTGAAGAGTGCACCTGACTTTTCACCTGATGACGTCATCAACACACAATGTGTAATTTTTCTTTTTATAATACTTGCCTTTCCATCTGCTTGCAAGGTTTTAAGAAGTGCATGGCCGTTGTCAAAAG